ATCTGCCAATTTTGTTTCCATCAAATATTCAACATTTGTTAATATTGTAATCAAGAAAGAATAGAATATATGTCTTAATTTGTTTTTGGTTAAAGGACTTATACTTATTTTTATCTAGAATATTAAGCTTTAATTATTTTAAACGTCCAATCCAGATCGCCAATTGGACAACTGGCATACAGAGTCAGCTATTGAATATATTAAATTATCGATGTTTTGTTATTTGTGTAGTGTAAAAATCATATGTTGTATCTTTCGACCATGTGTTTTATTATTTTTTTTTGTCGTTGTGTTTTTTTTCTACTTTTCAAATTTTTCTTGGATTGATGGTTTATGTGCTTTGTTGTCCTTTCCAATATTATTTAGTTATCTGTGTTGCATGTAATGCTCAATTGAAAAAACCATTACATTATCGCATTAAACATTTGTTAAACATAGATTTTATTACAAAGGAGTGGCATCGTATGTGTTATGTGTAGATACATATTTAAATAAAGTTGCCAGAAAGAAATGATCATCTGCATCTATTCTTTAATAATATCAAGTATCTATATTCAGCAAATTTAGTTCTTGCACCATTAAAACAAAATGTTTTTTCAAGTGAAGAGTTTGTCTGAAATCTCATACAAAAAGGCGAATTTAATATATGCCTTTGAATGTGTTGACAACCGAGATAATCAGAGTATCTTACCGTAGCTTTTTTGTTATACAAACTTAGCATTGTTAAAAGTAGGTGTACTTTGATAAAAGGTAGCGTCGTTTCGATAAGATGTGCTTCAATAAAAAAGAAATGTAACTCTGTGTTTCGTTTTTTCATGCCATATATGTTATCCTAATTTCGCATTTATTAATGGAGGCTTTCTTCTTCCTTGAATCCAAACTTGTCATACGTTCGCCGCAATTTACCTTTTCAGAAATGTATTAGGTAACATATTCTAATGAAATCCGTTATCATTTGTTTAATAGTCTGTCATTATTTTAAATTGCTGGATCGTTTAAACAGGTAGTAAACCTGTTTATATAATGTTAAAATTAAATACCTTTAAACGTCATTTAAAATTTGTTTTGTAACTAGATGTCACGATTTGTTTTTCAACAATTACAAACCTATCTTTGACTGAAAATGTTAAAATAAATGAATTATAATGTATTTGTGTCATATGGCAAGGAAATCTAAGATTGTTTTATCATTTGTGATATGTTTTCTTGCTAATAACGTATTTTCCTACACTTTGATGTTATTTAAACTTTGAACGAAAATTTTGAGTTTATTGTATTTGACGAGACTGTCATATAAGTGAGAGGTTTCGCTAGCTATACAACCAGGTTTAAGCCACCATTTTCTACATAAGAAAATGCCTGTGAAAAGTATGGAATATTACAGTTGTTATCCATTCCTTTGATGTGATTGCGCTTAGTAAATTGCCATTGGATTAGATGACTTTCCTTTTTTGAATTTTCCTCAAAAACAAATACTGTGATTTACATTAAAATGTAATTTATAAGATGATATTCTCAAAATCCAAGTACAAGGGATTGCAATTGGGTTAGGGAGAAAAACAGCTGAGTTTGACACTCCTCGTAGTATATGCAACTAACTGTACAAAATGCCAAAAACAAACAATTATATATGTAGAACAAACAGGCGATACACTGTAGGGACGAATGGTATTGAACGTTTCAAACATTAGTAGAACATTCAAGGTAAAATACCACCATTGATTTTCCCCTATTAGTCTTTGTTAAATTTGCACCTTTACAGAAAATAGGCAGAAGTTATCTTTGTTTCAAATAAAGATATAAGTGGTATGAGTAAAGTTTTATCCTGGTCTATTTTGGTCCATTTCTAATTCTCAATTCTTCAAAATTATACTATTCAGGCCAATAAACAAAACAACTTGGAGTAATTTTCACTCATTTATGAATTTATGATATAATTTGCTAATGAATGAGTAATTGAAATATTCAAGCTGAATGAACTAGCCATATACAAGGTTACTGTCTGCAAGGAGGTTTTATAAGAAGTAAAAGCTCACCAAAACACTGAATATGGATTGCTCTATCCGAAAATGTTCGTCGAAGAGTTCTATTGTAAGGAAACAATTTCATTAAATGCGTTTTTTGAGACTCAATCCACTCGGAACATTTCATTTATTGCATTATTTCACTTAAATAGCAAGAAATTTTAAAAACATCAGAGTACTCACGAGGTCAAAGGTTCGTGTGCAGCTTTCAATATTAGGTGTAATACCACCATTGATTTTCCTCTATTAGTGTGTTTTGAATTTGCACTTTTCAAAAAACTGTGCAGAATGTAACGTTGTTTAAAATTAAGAAAAACTGGGCATGAGTGAAGATTTATCCTGTCCAACTCTATAGAAAAAAATTAACAAAATATTTCATTGCACATACGAAAACTATCATCACTGGAAGTTTATCAATCAAATGTTTACCTATTGGTTAACCAGTGCACAAGATTAAGTAACCATGTAACCTCAAGCTACCAAATTATACTATCCCAAATAAAAAAAATGGTGCTTTGAAATACACAAGATATATGTTTATGATCTAGATTTTTTTTACAGCAATGAAATGTAGGAGTTAATACCTACACCTGTCAAATTCATAGACATTAATGTTCCCTTATTTTTGCGGTATTTTCACATTTTTTCATCGGTGTGAGAAACATAGTTCTCCTCACTAATGAAAAATCTGTTTTCGGCAAATGATTGGTCAAAATTTAATTGTGACGTTTAATTTTTTTGTTTTCTTCTGAATTTTCCTATTGTGACGTCTTGATAAAATGCAATCTAGCCTGATGATGACACAACTTTTTTTTCAAATCTCTGAAAACAAAGGATAAATCATTAGAGAAACAGATTTCACCACTGTAACTCATTTATTACGATATTTCTCCACTCTCAACAGTTTAGTTTTAATTTTTTAAAGAGCTCGGCATTCCTCGCGCTTTAAATATTAAAATTTAACTGTCTCCAGTGGACAAATATCGTATACACACTTGCTGCAGTTGTGGAATCTATATTTTTACCCTTTTTCGTAAGCAACCGGGTATCAGAAAATTGAAAAATGTTAATAGAAACTGATGGACTCAATACTGTGTACCAATGGTAGTTCTAAAAAATCATATCCCAAAAGAGAAAAAAAGCGGCAAATGAACGTCATAGTAGTAAGTGTAATGTGATCCAAGTAATGTTATTGTTGTTTCAATGTTGTCATTTTTCCAATGAAGAAGGCCGTATGGCAAAAACGTATGGAAAATTGTCTTATAGTTTTCTTATTATATATGTAAGTATACTTGCTACGTCATGAAACGAACATCGATAACTTACATTGAATTAAATGTCTGGTAAACCGATATTGTAAAAGTGTGTACTTAAAGTCTTTGGTATAACGTTGACTTGTTCGTGTTGTTTATGGGTGTTTTGGGTTTTATACTAACATTATTAAGTTTAAAAGTATCAAGTAGAAAAGCCCTTTTCTGCTAATAATTCTCATCAATTTGCAAACATCACATGATTTTAATATATAACATTGTATATTATAACTAAAGGATTTATTCTTTTTGTCTTAAGTGTGATCTGTTTTCTCAAAAATGGCATCCTACGTTGACCTTATTAGTAACAAGTTATTTAGAAAGGAAAGGATCAGGCGTATCAAATTATAAGCCTGGAACCTTTGATAACTATTTACACCACTATGTCGATGACACTGATGGTGGACGTTTCGTCCCCGAGAGTATCACCAACCAGGAGTCAGCACTTCTATGTTGACATCAACATCAATTATATGGTCATTTTTATAAGTTAACCGTTTGCAAAAATATGAATTATTAGAAATACTTAAGAATTCTATTACTCCAGCATATATTACCTTTGCCATATTTGGCACAACTTTTTGGAATTTTGTGTCCTAATTGCTCTTCAACTTTATACTTTTTTGGCTTTCTAGCTATTTTGACCTGAGCGTCACTAATGATTCTTATGTAGACGAGACGTACGTTTGGCGTATCATATCATTAGCCCTGTACCTTTGATAACTATATACTGTCACAGTTTAAAATATTCATCTGTTATAAAGAGATTAAGCAAACATGACATATTGTTCATTCTGTCAACACATTATATACATATATATATTTTATAGAATAACTAATCGAAGGAATCGAACAGAGATAAATTTTTAAAAAGTGACCGAACAATACTTTATTTAACAAACGCGCGTAGCGCATGGGTTAATTATCAGACTTGTTGGTGCACGAGTTGAATATTTGTCGATATTTGAATCCTTTGAAATTTTTTTTTTTTATTTCAATGGCAAATGGCTTTTTGTATGAAAATAATGTAGAACATGTAAGGAACTATATCTGTTTCTAGGCATTCACAATTTGTTTCAATTCGACGCTTTTTACAATGTCTTGGCAACGCTTATTGTTGTAAGACGTCAGAGGAGTAAAATAACCACGTTTATTTCAAATGTGAAATCATCGGTTTTTATTTCGCTGGGAAATCAATGTAATTCATTGCAACATATGTAATAATACTGTATATATATGGTTTGTATCCTTTATATAAGAGAGGGATGAAAAATACCAGATGGACAGTCAAACACATAGATCGAATATAAACTGAAAAAACCATGGCTTAAAAAGAAAAATACAAACAGACAAATATTAGTACACAAGGCACAACAAAGAAAACTAAAAATCAAGTCTAGTTAGACGCAAAAACGTATATCATAGATGCTTAATCCGAAGATTGTATTCATAAATAAATGATTACATATGGATGAATGTTCCATTTTCATCATTTCTAGTCAGAGTTGCGTACTCATCAGTAATTGATATTTATAAATTAGTATCGGTTTTATTTCATATTGTACATAGTAGTTTATAAAGATTCAAATCCTTATTTCATAATTGAAACCAAGTCTCGTTGATGCATAACAGTACTGCATTTAATTTATTTCTTTATATTACTTAGTATATGGTTGAAATGGAGGAAAGAAAAATTTTAATAACCAACGATATCAACTTTATTAACAGAACAACTACAATGAACACGTACGAAAGAATACAGCTTAGCAAGGTAAAACACATCAGTATGTACTAGAGTGTTAAAAACTAATACATACTACATCTTTTATTCTTATATTTATGGTAATGATGACAACAAGAATAGGTCAAAACAATACATTTGCTCATGATCAAAGCTGTTAACTGCACGTAATTAAATTCAACAGTCGTTATAGAATAGTAGTATCGTATTGTATAACTGGTAAATTACATTTATACTTTGCGGCAACCTCAGTTGGTAGGTGTTTTGCAAAGCCACGAACAGTGTAAACAGTGTTACGACTTTTGAATTGACAAGCAAATAGGTCTTTTGCTAAGCTTATTCCTTAATCGTTCTTTTTCCGGGCTGTAAAATCGACAAGATTTTGCAGTGGTGGTTCTCTGCAATTGAGATTTATGCCAATGTCTTGCCAAACATTTCTGATAAGGTTCATGTCTGGAGACATGGAAGGCCAAAAGATAGTGTCAAGGACTTCTTGGTCTTTGTACTCGGTTAAAATCCGTGCCATGTGTGGTCTAGCGTTGTAGTCCATGTAAAAGGGTCTTGACGCAAGATGGGGATTGTCAAAATGAGTGTCTAAGCACCAAATCCCTGTATGTCTGTCCATTGATGTTACCCTGCAGAATATGCATACCAAGCTTATAACGGTATGATAAACAACTCCGTACTGTAACATCACCAGCACGGGAGACAGTCGTTGGGCAAGTATTGTTTTGGTCATAGGCAGCTTTATTTTCCCGCCAAACTGCTGTCTACTGATCATAACAGAAACCGGCTCTCGTTTGACCAATGAATTCGTTGTCAGCTTCTTATGTTCAAGCGTCGATGGTCATTAGCTCATTTAACTTTATTATACAGTGCCTGGCTGTAAGGGCAAGTCTCTTGACCACACGACGTGCTCTTATGTTGTCTTTATGAAGTCGACGGTCCAATGTTTGAATACTAACATGACCACCTGATGGCTAGTAGTGTCTAAGCTGCGGGTTAGGAATAAATGGTTTTGTAACACGAAGTATAAGCAGTCTGTCATAATGTCATTACAACGGGTTGTTAAACGGGATCTTCCGAAACTTGGTCTATCATTTACTGTTCCCGTGTCAACATGACGTTGTAAAATTCTGACAATGACAGTGTAATTAACATTAACCTAGTGCTCTTACCGGTATTTGACATGTCTATTGCTTGCCAACGTTCAGCCACAGATATGTTACGCCTTGCCATATGACACACTGACTTGTTATACAATCTTTATAGTGTGCTGTTGGTCGATTGCAAGGCAGCATATCTGTCCTATACAATATGCTTTCTATTAACAAAAAAAAATTTACTTGCCGATATACAATGCAGAATTGAATGTTGTTTCCGTCTGCATGACATTTTTAGCATATGAGTACAATGATCCACGATGCAAGACACAGTCTTAAAATTGTAATAAAATCATCGAAAATATTTTTGACAAAGACAAACATATGTATAGGAACAGTTAAAATTATAAATCGAGAGGTGCAACATATTTATTAACGGAAACATACACATGATACACGAGCAATAGCAAAATCTCTATTAGTTTGAGCTGACATATATCTACTACAATTACAAGTGATAACTGGGGCTGCCTGGGTAAATTATTTGCTTTTTTTATTGGAGACTTGTTATTAGTAATTGAAGTGTAAAGGGGGGGGGGGGAAGGGCCCTGTTAAATTTTGGGAATGGAAAGGGGAGTATTCAACTTATTTATAATACATCAAATGAGGTTTGTGCATTGACATGTTATTTGTATATTTGAGCAATTCTGTGCAATAATAATAATAATTATTATAATAATAATAATAATAATAAAAATAATAATAATAATAATAATAATAAAAATAATAATAATAATAATAATAATAATTAAATAATAATAATATTAATAATAATGAGAACAATAATAATAATAATAATAATAATAATAATAAAAATTAATAATACTTGTAACGAATTAAAGTACTGAAAATTGAGGAGGGTGAGTGTGTTTTATGAATGTTGGATCTTGAATTTATATTTTGGGGAACCTGAAAAAGAAGGAAAAAATCAAGTGTACCTCTCATCCACTTAAAGGCTTAAAAAAAAGAATCTCGTCACCTAAACCAAAAAAAAAAAAGGGTTTCATGCCTACAACATTCTCAATTTGAAAATGAAATTAACATAAACAATCACATAATGGCAAAGTGAATTATCATAGTTTTCAAATTTTCCTTAGAATTATAGAAATTTTTCTGAATAGAAAGAACCAAGCAAGTATTGGGTACGGGATTGTAGCATACATTTTATACGTTAAAAACGCGAACCTATTATAGCGCATGACAACTGGTGTAAAAACATTGCAACTATGGATTCATACCATTACATTCATGTATATAAAATGTAAAATCACAAAAATAATGAATTCCGCGGAAAATTCAATACGGAAAATCCCTTATCAAATGGCAAAATTAAAAGCTCGAAAATAGCAAACGAATTACCAACAACTGTCATATTCCTGACTTGGTACAGACATTTTCTTATGTAGAAAATGTTGGATTAAACTTAATTTTATAGCTATCTAAACCTCTCAATTGTATGACTGTCGTATACAATTTCATTATATTAACAACGATGTGTTAACAAAACAAACAGACACAATAGGTAAAAAATGTCAGAAATAGGGATACAGCAGTCAACGTTGTGTTATTATATTAATCACTATAAACAGATAATTTATAATAAAAATCATTTTCCATGACACAAAAACAAAATGACGGGAAGTAAAAGTACAGAGTCACGTCACATACAAGAAAGAAACACGAAAATGCACACAGACAAAGCACATTAGCAAAAACGAAGGACAAGAATACAGAAATCATTATAGAACAATAACACAATGACGGGATGTATAAGTACGGAGCCACGTCATATGTAACTATGAAACACAAAAAGGCATACAGAAAAAGCATATAAACAAATATGAAATGCAAGAATACAAAATTCATCATTCTGTCATCACCTATTTCCAGTAACTCCAGCTTCCTGACGGAGTTGTTTTTAATTATACTAGTATAAATTACAGGGTTCTATTCATTTGGCAGGGATGTACAAGTACGCAGTCACGTTCACAAAATTAAACTAAGTCAATATTGATTATAATTTTTTTAATCATTATCAAACTGCTTTTTATTTGGGATGTTTAAATACGCAGCCTCTGTTTAAATTACTCTACCGTTGTCAAATTTGAAATATTATACTAGCTTATATATATATAATTACATTGGTCAGTGCTGTTTATTGGGAGTGTATTTCCACGCAGTTGTTGTAACATCTTAATTGTCGTCACCTTGTGAACTTTAGAGCTGTGCCAGTTCATATTGCAAATTACTATTTTATTTCAGGCATATCTTTGCAGTCTTTGCGTCGTGTTTGGTAATTTTTGAATTGTACTAGCGTTTCTATGATGATCGGGTAAAACTGTTTAATCGTATAGATTTCAAGGTTGTTATAGTTTTAAAATCAGAATAGATTGTAATGATTCATTTTACATCGTGATTATACTGATGAAGGATATCTGTTATCCGAAATATTTAACATTTGTTCATTTCATTGTTATTTTTTGGTGATTGTGTAACCTTTTAGACTGGTTATATATTATATTTTGTAGTGAACTGTATAATAATTATATGATCCATCGCCCCGTACGATTTATCGTTTGTTATTATGCCGTCATCAAGAAATTTGTTTTGCATGCACACGTATAACAATTGCGGTTTTTATCCAACGCAATCATAGGTTTGAACGTTGTTTTCAATTTAGACTTGTTTGTATATACGTCCTATCCCATCAAATGTAAATAACTTTCAGCTAGACGAGGACTTAGACTAATTCGCTAGACGTTTACGCTTGAAAGATTTTTTCTACAATAGGGGCAAGAAAAACCTTGAAGAAGCTGGATTAACAGATTCAGATACTGACACCTATGAAGAAATCACGCCCATCCCAAAATTTAAGAAAAAAAGTTCATGGAAACCACCTAAGAGTAAAAATGATAACTAGTATGGGCACAAAAATGGCCCCGTCATATGCCAACATATTTATGGGCCAACTTGAAAAACGCCTCTTGGCTAGTGCTCCATACCAGCCCTTATCATGGTTCCGATTCATTGACGATCTTGATTTCAAATGGACAGATTCACAAGAACATCTTAATGAATTTCTAGGACACTCTAACTCTTTCCACCATTCAATAAAATTTACATATGAATCATCTATTGAGAAAATAAACTTCCTCGACACTACGAGTTACATCAAGAACGGAACCATTATAACGGACCTTCATACCAAACAAACGGACAAACATCAATTCCTTTCTCCTAAAATTTGCCATCCTAAACACTGCTCCCGTGGCATCCCATTCAGCCAAGCATTGCAAATCAAGAGAATATGCTCTACTGAAAATACGCAAAATACTAGACTTGGACAACTACGTAAACATCTAGTTGTTCGAGGATACAATAACAACATCATTGATAGCGCTTTCGAAAGAGCAAACAAAACTAGTCGCCAAGAACTCCTAGAGTACAAAGATAAGAATAAAGCAGCTAACAGAACACCCCTTGTACTCACTTACCATCCTGATTTTAAAAATGTGTCTTCCATTGTTCAGAAGCATTGGAAAATTATAGAAAATGATTCAAATCTTAAAAAAGTATTTTCCTCACCACCAGTCATGGCCAGACCTAAAAATATCCGTGACAAATTAGTGACATCTGTATTAGCTAAGCAGCCTACTCCATCTCCCGGTTGCTACAAACAATGTGGTCGAAGGAACTGCTTGTGTTGTAAAGCTGCCAATACAAGCAGTTCTTTCATCAGCTCCGTTACTAAACAAAATTATACCATCTACTCAAATTCCAACTGTAAAACGGAGAACTCAATTTATATATTAACATGTGACACTTGTGGCATTCAGTATATGGGAGAAACCATGGACAAATTTAATA